TGTTGTTGTTAAGTGCCGTTGAGTTGGTTCTGACCCATAGCAACCCTCTATAGGGTTTCCAAGGAGCAGCTGGTGAGCTTGAACCATTGACCTTGCAGTTCAAATGACTTTGCAGTCTGATGCATTAGCCCACAGCGCTACACTACATTAGTTAGTGAGGCAGTAGCACCTTAGGGTCTAGGACCAGCTTAGTTTAATAATCACCTTACTAGTTGCGGGACATGGTGCATGTCGCTTACCCTCTCTGATACACAGTTTCTTTAATCGGAATGTGAGGATAGCAACTGTGCTGATCTCATCCAGATGTTGTGAACTTGTGAAGCATATAGTAATTGGTCAATAATTAGTGCCACTGGTAATGAAGGTGATGACAGTGACAGTTACAATGCTTGATGGATTATGGTTTCCTTCCCCTAATTCCATAATCCCAAGGTTGGGAACCCTAGATCTGGTTCAATCCTCGTTTTATAGAAAAAAAAAATTCAAGCTCAGAGAGGGAAAGCAACTTGCCTAAGGGCACACAGCAAAATTAGAAAGCCCAGGCCATGCAAATTCTGGTCCAGAGCTTTTGCCATCACTCCAGTTAAGTTGCTACAGTCAGAGGTTGAGGGTAGCGATGTCCACTGGACTTGAAAAGACAGATCATTTCACCATGTAATTTCTGTTCAACAAGTAGGTATGTCATGGGCCATTGAAATGTGTACACAGTGCTGTTTCTGCCCCGGAACTCCCACCTGGAAGAGAGAAAAGGGCCCTGGTGCAGCTAGGAGTGCCCCAGTGCCAAGCAGAGTGTGTCTCTTTCCTCTTTGCTATGGATAGAATTGTTTCCTCCAAATATGTTTTAGAATCCTAACCCCCTATACCTGTGGAAATAGCCCTATTGGGAATCAAGGTGTTTTTGTTCTGTTAATGAGGGCATAAAGTGTAAAATGCGTCCTAAACCAGCTCACATCAGTTCACATTACAAAGCTACTCACAAGCACACACAGGGGAAGACAGATGCTGTGTGAGGACCCTCTACAAGTCTAGGAACCAAGGGTTCCCGGGCTACCAAGAACGAAGAAATCGCCACTCAAGACCTTGATTTGAACTTAATTCCAGAACCATGAGAAAACACGTCTCTGTTCTTTAAGATCACCCACTTGTGGTACTGGTGTTAGAGCAACGAAGATGCCTCTCTAGAGGGACCAGGAGTCCACAGGCATGGAACCTCAGGCAGAGACTCACATTCCTCAGACACGGGCTCTTGGCTGGCTCATGGCTGGCCTCTTTGCTGGGCTCGCTGTCATCCTCTGGCATGTCCCGGAGGTCACTCAGGTCACAGTCTACAGAGGGTTAAGCCGTGAGGAGAGAAAAGCAAGGGTGAGCGCAGGCAAGCAGAGGGAGGGCTGGACTTGGGGCGGGAGGCCTGCACTTGAGGTTGGGTCCACCACCTTTGCAATAAATGCTTACTTGTTCTGAGACTCATCTGTAAACGGGTTGCTATAATCTCTGCCTGGCCCATCACCTAGGGTTACTGAGCCACATGGTAATATGTGTTACGGTTCTATGGAAATGCTCAAGGGCTACGCTATAGAAGCACATGTCTTCCCTTGTGTCTCCATCCCTAGCACTCTCTCACCCAGATCTAAAGCTTGAGGAGTGCTGTCTTCCCTGGGAGGAGAGTCAGAAAAACTAGTTGCCATTGAGTCCAATAGATCTGTGCTCTATAGAGTTTTCTTTTTTTTTTTTAATTAAATGTTTTTATTTTGCATTGAGTGAAAGTTTACAGGGCACATCATCAGCTTCACATTCAACCATTCATATAGCTTGTTTCATTACATTGATTATTATCCCCGCTATATATCATCAGTTTACAGTGTTTCTCTCTATCCTCTTTAGCTTTTTTTTTTTGGAGGGGGGGGGGGACTTGGCTTATTGGAATTTACAGTCTCGGCTTTTAGGGGAGGTTTTTACATTTGTCTGTGGATATCCAGGGCTCACGTATGAGATTACTAACAAGCATTACTGAATAATCAGATGAGGGACAGTTTGTTATGTCTACTAGGTAGCTAGAGTCTGATCCTCAGAGCCTATGGTTTGGACGGTCAACAACGCTTGGGCCCACAGGGGGTTGGCCTCCTGACCGGGTCTGTGCTGTCTGCATCTGAGTCCTCCTTTTTTATTGATTGTTTAAGGGACGCTGCCTGTCTTAGGTGGTCAGTGCGAATTCCTCAGTCTTACCAGTCATTGAGACTCATTGCAGCATGGCAATGTCTCTGTCCCAAGTAGCCGAGGTTCCACGTGATCCTTACCCGTCTCTGGCCACACGTCCAGCATAAACAGCCGCCATCCGAGGAAGGCAGGGAGGGAGGAGATCAGCTGGGGACCCCAAGCGCCTGACGTTGCCGGCCCACCACCTGCTCTAAGGTGACCAAGCAGGATCACTATGCTGAGGTTCAATCCAGTTCCTAGGGGATCTTATTCTCTAGCATGGGTAGCAAATGGGTCGCCACTCAGTGTTCACTTTGAGAATTACTTATATCATAAAATTGAGCGTGTAGCTGATGAATATCCCCAGACAAGTGTATATTGTTCCACAACCTCCTAAAATGCTGTTGGATTAAGTTCCAATTAATTTCTGGGTTACTGAAAGATAACACAAATCTACTTATACCTTGAGTAACCTTAGCTGGGAGTGTAGTCTGGATTTATTGGGTCTTATTTCCCTTAAGCGGTCTTCCTTTCTCTAAAGCATTTAGCCTGTTTTGTGAGCCTTTGTCTATTTACTCTCAGATCATATGAGCGAGACTAATGTCCCTAGACATTTGATTTACATGATGGGCAGGGCAAAAAAAGGTAACAATTTCTGTTTGCGCAGTGATTCTTGACCTGAGAGCAAAGGCACATGGCACGTTTGAGGGCTAGGCACTGCATTGCTTTGCCTAGCTTCTGAAAACTTTAACAGGGGATAAATCTATAGAGTTTTCAATGGCTGATTTTTCCAAAGTAGATCCAGGTTTTTCCTTCGAGGTGCTTCTGGGTGGACCTTTCAGTCTATGCCCAAGGGCATCCCAGCAGGTCTGCTCCTAGACAGCTGTCATGAGCTCCAGGTGTTCCAGGCAGGCGCTGCCAATGGATGGAAGTGTCAGGTGGCAAGGTCACAGGCTTATATGCTGTACACTTACATCTCTGCCTCTCCTCAGATCTCTGGGATGAACTCCTATAACCATGTAGGTGTAGAGGACTTGCCCAAAGTCACTCAGTGAGGTAACATGGTTAAGTTAACCCAGAATGCGGGTATTTTCCAGGACAATCCAAGGACTCTTCCACAGCTAGGGCAGTGAACATAGACACACTGGGAGAGGGGTGGTTTCATATCTGAGGTCAGTAGAGGGTGGCTTACCAAATTCTTCAAAGAGGGACTCTACGAAGCTTGGCCCAGAGTGCAGGTCGGCTGTGTTCACGTACAGGTAGGAGACTTCCTTTGCTGTGGGGGAGAAGAACCCACCAGCTATGAGGAGGAAAGAGACCCAAGGCTGCAAATCTTCAGGCGGGGCTAGGTTCCTCCCACCCACTCAGACTCTGTCCCATACAACCATGCGATGTGCAAACCATGCTCACATTCTAAGTGATTTCAATGGCTTTCAAATTTGGTTTTCATTTCAAATGTTTTACTGAGGGTCTCTTTCTTCAAATGAAAGGATGTCCAAAGACACAGTACACAAAACAGATTCTGGGGGTTGCTCTGGGGCCAGTGATCAGAGGCTCCTGGAAGCATGGTTTCTGCCCTGGAACTCCCACCTGGAAGAGCTCCCTGGTACAGCTAGGCAAGTCCCATTGCTAAGTAGAGTGCTTCTCTTTCTTCTTTGCTATGGATAGAAAATCACTGTTCCTTTCATTCTTCTAAGAGCCTGTGAGGACATTAACCTGCTTTGTCACTGGGCAGCGTGAGGCTCAGAGCCAGTCACCCAGTGGGAACTTCTCACCATATCACTGGTACTCTATACTCAGGACACAGACTGTGAAGGCAGAGAAGATGTGGGGGAGTGAAGAGAGGGGTACACAAAGACATGGGGTGGGGGAGGGTATTCTAGAGTGTGTAGTGTGAGTAGGTGTGTGTGATGTGTGTGGTGTGTTAGTGTGAGAGTGTTGTTATAAGTGTGATATTTGTAGGCATATGTGTCTATTTGATGTGAGTGTGCTGTATGTGTGCTGTGTGTGGGCATGTGTGATGTGTTTGTGTGTAGAGTGTTGTATGTGTGATAGTGTGTGGGGTGTGCAGGAGTATGTGATGTGGATCTGTTTGTGTAGTTGCAGGTAGATGTGTGTGTAATATAATTATGCATGTGTATAGGATATGGAGTCCTAGTGTGGTGCTGTGGGCTATTGCGTCAGACTGTAAAGTCGTTTAAACTGCAAGGTTGGTGGTTCAAGCTCACCAGCTGCTCCTTGGAAACCCTATACAGGGTCGCTAGGGGTCAGAATGGACTCAATGGCCCTTAAGAACAACAACAACTATGTAACAGTAACTTGGGCCTTAGTTTGCTTTGGGGCTGAAGACCAGTTTCATTACAGTATATTGAGGAGTCCTGGTGTGGCGCTGTGGGTTAATGTACTGGACTGCAAGGCCAGTTTGAACTTCAAGGTTGGTGGTTCAAGCTCACCCACTGCTCCTCAGAAACCCTATACGGGGTCACTATAAGTCAGAGCCGACTCTACAGCACTTCACAGTAACGGCATAGTATATTGAGTCAGAGTGTGTATATTTGTTAAGTGCGTGTACTAGATACTTGAGGTATATGTAAGTGTATGTTGTGAATGTGATGTGTATCATGTGTGGTGTCTATGTGTGAATCTACAGAGGGTTGGGAACAGAAGAGCAGAGTCCAGGCAGGATTGTGGTGGGGAAGTAGGAACTTGGGGACAGATCATGAAATGTGTTGACTGCCCTGTTAGAAAGCTCAGACTTCCTCCAGCAGAGACCCTGGGGAGTTCCTGAAGGTTCCTGACAATGTTCTAGCAAGGCTCTGCTGACCAGGTGCTTGAGCCCTGGGCACAGTGCTGATGGCTGACCTGGCAGGGGCTGCAGGCTCTGCAGGATGGAGGCCACAGCCATCTTCTTCTCCAGGGTGCTGTCACTGAGGTATTCATGGTCCAGGAGGCTGAGCAGCCCTGTGAGCTCCGGGAGTAGCTGCTCCAGCACTGTGGAGGAAGGAGCACGGTCACGACTCTTTGTCCAGGAGCCCTGGCCGCTGCCCCCCTCCCCGACCCAGAGCACCAGCGGGCAGGGAAGGGTGCTGCCACGGAGAGACCTGACCTCCCCTGGAGAGCTCGGCTCACTTAATCCATGACACCCCTCCAGACTCCTCACTCCACCTCAGACATCATGTGGCCTGGGTCTATGGATTGAACCTTCCTGGGCTCATCCCTGAGTAGCTCTCAGCTCAGACCATTTCCAGAAGAGGCACTGGGTCTCCCTCTGTTCCAGCCTGCCCTCTGCTTTGCAGGTCCAGGGGTCCTTTTTCACTCTGGCTTGAGATTCAGTATAGATCTCAGGCCAGAGCTCCTGGCTATCCAGGACACAAGGCAGGAAGGGAGCCTTCCTGTCTCATCAGTTCAGATGCTTCAATCTCTGGAACCGTCTGTTTCCGGTGCCTTGGCTGGAGCCAAACGAAACATTAACCCTTTCTGCCCCAGGCCACACAATTCTTGTTGTCACTTTTTGTTTTTCTATACTACCTAGCGCTTTCCAATATGAATGTGTATAGATTCTGATTCCCAAGGTCTGGGGTAGGACCTGAGACTCTGTATTTGAAACAAGCTACCAGCTGAAACCACAATGAATTTTAAGATCCTAGAGGACAGAATCCTTTAAACACTTAAGTGTGTCAAGAACATGATTTCATTGCTGTCTCCTGATTCAGAACAGTAACTTGGGTCTTAGTTTGCTTTGGGGCAGTTTCATTACAGTAGAGGTATTATCTTGTTTGGACTCCTGGTATGGCATTGTAGGACAAGCACTGGACTGCTAATTGAAAAGTTGACGGTTCAAACCCACCAGCCTTGAAAACCCTATACAGGGTTACTATGAGTCTGAACCAACTTGATGGCACTTAACAACAGCGTTGTCTTGTTTTGCAACTCAACCACACTTATGCATAATAAAGGCTAAACTGTTGAAAAATCGTTATGAATTGCACTAAGCCCTTTATACTTATTGTCTCATTTAAATCTCATATCAAGCATTTAATTATCTCTATAGAGAATGAAATTAATTTTCAGGGACATTAAATCAATTCTCCAGGGTCGCACAGTGAGCAGAGCCTGGACTGAATCCAGTTTTTGTCACTCCACTAGTTTATTCATGGCCCCATACTGCCTTGCAGTATTTTATCTGATCCTACCAACAAGTTCTATAATCACCTCCTCCATTCCCAACACACACACAGACACGCTTTTACATAGGACACTAAGGCTCAGAGATGTTAAGCATCTTTTTCTAAGTTATAAAGCATGTAGAAGAATCAGAACTTCAGCTCCAATTTCTTTACTACCAACCCTAGTGCTTCTCCGTATTTGAAGCCCTCCTAAGGAGTTTGGGAGATTCTCACTTGTAACTGTGGAGATTCGATGTGTAAGAGGGCAGTAATGGTTAGGGTTCTATGTCAGCTTGATTACGGCAGGATTTCCAGAGATTTAGTAGTTGGGGGAATCCTGATGTGGCACCATAGGATAAGCACTAGATCACAAGGTCAGTTTGAAACGCAAGGTTAGTTGGTGGTTTGAACTCACCAGCCGCTCCTTGGAAACCCTATACAGGGTCATTATGAGTCAGGACTGACTAAACGACACTTAGCAACAACAACAACCAGAGAGAAGAAAATATTGAACTTAAATGTTTTTAAAAGGTTTGACTATCTTTTGGATATTGGTTTATCTTGCCTATTATCTCTGGTAGAGTAGTGGTTACAAATCAGGCTGCAAACCGCAAGGTCAGCAGTTCAAAACTACCAGTGGTTCCGCGGGAGAAAGATGAGGCTGTCTGCTCCCATAAAGATTTATAGCCTCGGAAACCCTGTACAGGGTCGCTATGAGTCGGAACCGACTCCACGGCACACAGCCACCACCACCACCATTATTGTAAAATTGACAAGCATGTGTGATAGGAATATTGGAAATTATGATTACAGAGAGCTTGTAAACCTACCTTCAGCCTATGCTTGACTAGATTTGTTAAAAGGGGAGTTATTGTACAGAAAAATAGACTTCTTGCTTTAAGCCTTTGTACACAGTATGGGACTTTGGGTGGAATCCTGAGCCCCACCCAGAGCCTTCTGAATGAAAATGTTTGCATTTGAGAAGACATGTAGACCAATTTAGAACAGCTGGGAGAACAGAAAAAGGGCCACAGTTAGGTGCTTTGAGTTTCAGAGGCATCAAGGCAAGGAACGTCAGCCCATTAAAGAAAACCCCCTTTTAGGACTGAAAGTTAAAGGGAACCAGAGCAGTATACTTGCTGGTGACTACCTAGGTCTACGTGTGAGTGGAACTGGGGGGAAATGAGCAATGAAGATACAGGCTGAAATTGGGCATGTTCAATTGGCACCTGTTGACCTTGAGATAAGAGATGAGGGAGTTAGTTGAATGAACCCCTGAGACCATGGGCACTGACCTAGCCTCTGGGGGCTAGGGCTGAGAGTGAGGATGCTAGCTGGTTTGATGTACAGGGAGGTGTGTGTGAACTTCTGAACTTGCAGCTTATACCCATTTAATCTAGCTTGGATAACTAGGCATGAGCTTAATAGAACCTGATCAAATGAAGATAAAAACATTTGATACTTTGATCAAGTATTGATTGTTACAATTTGATGGACTGGACTTTTGCTTATGAATGCAGTTGCTCAAAAGTCCAATTGGAATGGAAGATTCCTCATATCAAGGTACATGCTTGTCTCCTCAGTGTACTGGGTTGCTAGGGATGGGCAATTTAGACATTGGCTATCAAAAATGGGGGTGCTATAAAGGCAGGAGTGCCTTCCAACCTGAGGGGCTCATCTTCCCACACTGGCATTACAGCCATCATCAAAAAGAACGTATCAAGACGTATCAGTCATGAAGTACAATGTTGTCTGTGTTAGGATAATATTCATATGCTTACAAGGAAGATTAGCTAATACCACTATTATTCAAATTTACACACCAACCACTAAAGCCAGTGATGATGAAATTGAAGAATTCTACCAACTTCTTCAAGGACCTCTGATAGCATAGTGGTTATGAATCGGGTTGTGAACCTTAAGGTCAGCAGCTTGAAACTGCCAGCTGTTCTGTGGGAGAAAGACGAGGCTTTCTGCTCCCATAAAGATTTACAGCCTCGGAAACCCTGAACAGGGTCGTTATGAGTCAGAACCAACTCCATGGCACATAACCACCACCACCACCAACAACAACAACTTCTTCAGTCTGAAACTGATCACACATGCAACACAAAGTTGTATTGATAATTATTGGTGATTGGAATGCAAAGGTTGGAAACAACGAGGAAGAATCAGTAGTTGGAAAATATGGCCTTGGTACTAGAAACGATGCTGGAGATCACACAATAGAATTTTGCAAGACCAATTGCAAACATCTTTTTTAAACAAAATGAAAGATGACTGTACACATGGACCTCACCAAATGGAATACACAGAAATCAAACTGACTATATCTGTGAAAAGAGACGGTGGCAAAGCTCCATAACATCAGCCAAAACAAGGTCAGGGGCAGACTGTGCAACAGACCATCAATTGTTCATATGCAAGTTCAGGCTGAAGCTGAAGAACATTAAAACAATTCCACGAGAGCCAAAACATGACCTTAACATATCCCACCTGAATTTAGAGATCATCTTAAGAATAGATTTGATGCATTAGACACTAAAGACCAAAGACCTGAGGAGTTGTGGTATGATATCAAGAACATCAAATAGGAAGAAAGTAAAAGTTCATTAAAAGAGACAAGAAAGAAGGAAAAGCCCAACATGGATGTCAGAAGAGACTATGAAACTTGCTTTCCAGCACAGAGATGCTAAAACAAATGGGAGAAATGAGGAGTTAAAAGAGCTGAATAGAAAATTTCAAAGGTCAGCTCAAGAAGACAAGTGAAATATTATAACAAAATGCAAAAAAAAAAAACTGGAATTAGAAAATCAAAAGGGAAGAACCTGCTCAGCATTTCTCAAGCTGAGGGAACAGAATAAAAAAATTAAAGCTCAATTTGCAATATTGAAAACTTTGGGAAAATTATTGAATGATGAAGAGTCAATTAAAAAAAAGATGAAAGGAATGCACAGAATTACGGTACTAAAAGGAAATGGTTGATGCTTGACCATTTCAAGATGTAGCATATGATCAAGAGTCAATGGTACTGAAGGAAGAAGTCCAAGGTGCACTGAGGAATTTGCAAAGAACAAGGTATTGGAGATTGCTGGAATACAAACTGAAATCTTTCAACAAACTGAGGCAGCACTGGAGGCACTCACTCATCTATGCCAAGAAATCTGGAAAGCAACTACCTGGCCAACTGACTAGAAGAGATCCATATCTGTGCCCATTCCAAACAGAGGTGATCCAACGGAATGTGGAAATCATGGGACAATAGCATTGATATCCCATGCAAGTAAAATTCAGCTAAAGATAACTTTAAAAACAGCTGCAAACACACACTGACAAAGAACTGCCAGAGTTTCATGATGGATTCAGACGAGTATGTGGAATGAGGGATATCATTACTGACATCAGATGGATCTTGGCTGAAAGCAGATAATACCAGAAAGAGGTTTACCTGTGCTTTATTGACTACGCAAAGGCTTTTGATTGTTTGGGTCATGACAAGCTATGGACAACATTGCAGAGAATGAGTATTCCAGAACACTTAATTATGCTAATGAGGAACTTGTACATAGACAAAAGGCATTGTTCAACAAGGGAACACTGAATGGATTAAAATTAGGAATGGTGTACGCTGGAGTTGTATTCTTTCATCATAATTATTCAATCAGTGTGCTGAGCATGTAATCCAAGAAGCTGGATTATA